TTGTTTCATGGTGCAAACTGAAATGTTTGTTCCCACATTCTGCTCTAGTATCTTCCTGTGTCATTGGACTTGTGAAAAGACAAGAAGGGAAATGTTAAACGTACAAAAGAAAAATCTCTTTTATATTATACTGCCAAGCAGAGTTTACTCAGATTTTGAAAGCAGTAAAAAGCAAAAAAAGAAAAGTATTGCACATTCCATCTCTTTTTCATGTAGAAATGCTGCAATTGAAACTATTTCGCTTAATTACCATAATGAATACCACTAGACTGAATGAATAGCATTTAAAGATGATGAGTAATTGCAGGAACAATGGTTTTCAACATGTAAATAGTTACTCATTCAAATATATTTTTGTTGCCATCATATATAATGTATGGCATCAATCAAATTTTCATCCAGAATCTGGTCTGCAAGCCTCCTTCCACTTTTATTAATTTATTTTATGTCGCTGACCATGGCATGTCGCTGGCCATGGCATATACTAGGACAAGGAAGACAGAGGCCCCTTCCAGGCAGTACTTACTACCTATATCCCAGGATCTGATCCCAGGTTTTATGCATTAAACTGGATAATATGAGTCCCCACTGTCAGATAATCTGGGATAAACAGAAAACCTGGTATCGGATCCTGGGATATAGATCCTGTCTGGAAGGGCCCAAGAAACAAAACTAAAAGGGAAAATACTTGCTCCAATAGAATAATTCAATAGAATACTTACGTAAAATTGGAACATGCTTTGTGGGAATAAAACATTGGGAGGAGAAAAATTGGAGGTGAGAAACAAATAGAATGGAAGTATCTGGATTCTTAACAGCAATACACAGTGGTAAAATATTTTATTTTGGACCTTACCTAATATATACTAATAAATTAAGTGACTTAGGTGCCACTAATTCCAAAATAAAAATGAGACAAGACAATGGTATCAGCAGGTTAGGCCATCCCATATTTATGACAAATACATTTTTGAGAGATACACACCTGAACAGGGCACCTTTCTAATAATCAAATAAGCAATAAGTTTATGGTTGTCCATTGATAGCTGACTGTTCCAATGAAAAAGCAAATGAAATTGCATAGAAAGACATGTACATTGAAACGAGTACAATGAACACTGCAAAATTGGTTGTGTTCTCCACTTTTGCTAAGAGAATCTGGCCTTTCAAATGTTTGTACCCCACATTTCACAAACTAGAGAATTGTCTTGGAAATATGAAACCTATCTTGAGGTCATTAAACAATAGGATTTTCCTTCCTCAAGCCTTTGTGGGGGGGTGGGGGTGGGAAAACATTTTTTCATGTCTTCCTACAGCCCTGAGCTACTTTAGGCCCATGAGAAACTTTTATCTAACCCTGTAGATAATATGGGGTATTATTTTTAGCAAGTGCAGTTGCAACCCCAAGTGGTCATGGCACTGCCTTCCAAGGCCCAGTGGAAGGCTGAATCCTTGGAATTGCCCATCCCTGTGCTTTTTACTATGGTCATTCGGCACAGAAAGAGCTGCTGAAGAACCAAAGGGACTGCTCCTGCAGGGAGGGGGTTAATATTTCACTGTATGTCCCATAGAAGATATTTGTTGCTGGACTGAAGGCAGGACCTGGAGAAACAGAGCTGAGCAGATGGTGCCTGTTGGTACATGGCAGCAGAATATGAGCTGCTCTTGGGGATCACAGAAGAAGGCATAATATGACTACACACACACTCACACCCCCAAAGTATGATACTCATTCCTCAGGAAATGAAAATACAGTCTAGATAATAAACGAACTTTTTAAAAACTGAATAGAAAACGAAACCATTAGTATGAGGGCACCTTAACTCGAATACATGGCGTGACCAGTCTTGGGGTTGCATTTACACTATAGAATTAATGCAGCTTGACACCACTTTAACTTCCATGGCTCAGTGTTGTGGAATCCTGGGATTTGTAGTTTGGCAAAGCACCAGCATTCTTTGGCAGAGAAGGCAAAAGACTTTATAAAATTACAACTTTCATAATTCAAAACCATTGAATCATGGCAATTAAAGAAGTGTCAAACCATTAATTCTATAGTGCAGAGGCACCCTTAGAATGCGGTCTAGTTTGCATCACTGCAAAGATGAAAGAGATTGTCCATCTGAAAAGGATACACAGAGAATCATAAAACTTACAGAATTTACATAGTATTTGGTAAACACCAGCCGGGCTGATTTTATAGGGAAATTAAACATATTTATGGACAGTACAACCAACCATGCTATTTGTGAGTTTATCAGCAGCCACTTCCAGTCACATTCAAGTCCTGCTTGGTGCCATTCGATATGGCTCTAACTGGTTAGTTATGGCTTTGGTCAGATCCAGAAATCCTGTTATATTCCTGACCTTGGCTTTCATTCGTTATGTTCTGGCTATAGAGTACACCCCTCAGACTAGTTTCCATGGGGTATAGTATTATACATTTGACCCATAGAAGTGTATAATATGTCACTTGAATAAAGCAACACCTTAGGTTGCATGCATAGAAAACCGATGTTATGGAAGTATTAAATGAAGGAAAAATACTGAGTGTAAATGCCCAACAGATTTAATTGGAAAGCTTGGCTGAGAGATTCTGGGAGCTGTAGCCTAGAACAACCTGTTAGTCATGGGGGTTGTGTGTGTGGGAAGTCTGGTCCAATTTTTTCGTTGGCGGGGTTCAGAATGCTCTTTGATTGTAGGTGATCTATAAATCTCAGCAACTACAACTCCCAAATTTCAAGTCACCACCCCCAACTCCTTCAGAGTCGAGCCAGTCACTTCAAGGATACCATCCATCCATCTTGCCCATGGTCAGCCCCTCTTTCTTTTTCCTTCCATTTCCCCCAGCATCATTGTCTTCTCTAAGCTTTCCTTAATTCTCACAATGTGGCCAAAGTACTTCATCTTGGCCTCTACTATCCCTCCCTCCAATGAGCAGTCGGTCTTTATTTCCTGAAGTATGGACTGGTTGGATATTCTGGCGGTCCAAGGCACTCTCAGAACTTTCCTCCAACACCACAGTTCAAAAGCATCTATCTTCCTTCGCTCAGCTTTCCCTATGGTCCAGCTCTCAAATCCATAGGTGACTATGGGGAATACCATTGCTTTAACTATGTGGATCTTCATTGCCAGTGTGATGTCTCTACTCTTCACTATTTTATTGAGATTGGTCATTGCTCTCCTACCAAGAAGTAAGTGTCTCCTGATTTCCTGGCTGCAGTCTGCGTCTGCAGTAATCTTTGCACCTAGAAATACAAAGTCTGTCACTGCTTCCACATTTTCTCCCTTTATTTGCAAGTTGTCAGTCACGGCCTCCATGCTTTCTCCCTCTATTTCCCAGTTATCAATCATTCTTGTTGCCATAATCATGGGTTTTTTTATGTTTATCTGCAGCCCAGTTTTTGCACTTTCTTCTTTCACCTTGGTGAGAAGGCCCCTCAGCTCCTCCTCGCTTTCGGCCATCAAAGTGGTATCATCTGCATATCTAAGGTTGTTAATGTTTCTTCAAGCAATTTCTACCCCAGCCTTGCATTCGTCAAGCCCCGCACACCGCATGATATGTTCTGCATATATGTTGAATAGGTTGGGTGAGAGGATACAACTCTGCCATACGCCTTTCACAATCTTGAACCAGTCTGTTGTTCTATGGTGAGTTCTTACTGTTGCTACTTGGTCCTTATACAGATTCCTCAGGAGAGAGACCAGGTGTACTTAATGTACTGTACTTAATGGGGAGTAAATCTGAGAATTCAAACGATATAGAACAGGCATGGGCAAACATGGGACCTCCATGTGTTTTGGACTTCAACTCCCACTAGTCCTAACAGCCTCAGGCCCTTTCCTTTTCCCCCTCAGCCGCTTAAGCGGCTGAGGGGGAAAAGGAAGGGGCCAGAGGCTGTTAGGACTGATGGGAGTTGAAGTCCAAAACACTTGGAGGGCTCAAGTTTGTCTATGCCTGATATAGAATGTGCTATGGCCCTCAACATAGTCATCACTTTTTAGAAGCAACAGCCACCATGGCCTTTGGCAGTGGTTCTCAACCTGTGGGCTCCCAGGTATTTTGGCCTGCATCTCCCAGAAATCCCAGCCAGTTTACAAGCTTTTAGGATATCTGGGAGTTGAAGGCCAAAACATCTGGGGACCCACAGGTTGAGAACCACTGGCCTACAACAAATCAGTATGCAACATCTGGCAAGGCCCATGTTTTTTCCAACTCTCTGCTGCTTCTCCTTTTCAAAAATCACTTTCCATTCAATCGCTGGCTTATAGAATCATAGAATCCTAGAGTTGGAAGAGACCTCATGGGCCATCCAGTCCAACCCCCTGCCAAGAAGCAGGAATATTGCATTCAAATCACCCCTGACAGATGGCCATCCAGCTCTGTTTAAAAGCTTCCAAAGAAGGAGCCTCCACCACACTCCGGGGCAGAGAGTTCCACTGCTGAACGGCTCTCACAGTCAGGAAGTTCTTCCTCGTGTTCAGATGGAATCTCCTCTTACAGTTTGAAGCCATTGTTCCGCGTCCTAGTCTCCAAGGAAGCAGAAAACAAGCTTGCTCCCTCCTCCCTGTGACTTCCTCTCACATATTTATACATGGCTATCATATCTCCTCTCAGCCTTCTCTTCTTCAGGCTAAACATGCCCAGCTCCTTAAGCCGCTCCTCATAGGGCTTGTTCTCCAGACAATTGATCATTTTAGTCGCCCTCCTCTGGACACATTCCAGCTTGTCAATATCTCTCTTGAATTGTGGTGCCCAGAATTGGACACAGTATTCCAGGTGTGGGCTTGATTTCTCTTTGCCTAGGAGGCCTTTACCAGCAACGTGGCATCCGCCCACAAGCAAGCTTCTCTGTCTTGAAGGAAAGTACTGACTACGTTTTCCCCTCTGCTTCTTCCGCTTTTAAAAGAAGAAGGGAGCATTAGCCAATCAGAGAGCGCGCGGTGTGGCCGGACGCTAACTTGTTGTGACGTCACCCACCTAGCCACGCCCACCGCGAGCTTTGCAAGGCGGCCTTTTCTCCCCTCCTCCCAGTCCTCAGGATGCTTTCCCGTCCCTATGGCAACAGCGCTGGCGTTATCCGTTTCCCTGGAGTCCTTCCGCGCGTCACTATCCCGCCTTCCCATTGGCCGCAGCGGATGACCTTGAGGAAGAAGGACCGCTTGGATTGGCTGGGGTATATTTCGGTTGGCTCGCTCGATAGGAACGTGAGGCTGTGGTGGTGTTTGTATTTTTTTTTTTTGACTTGAGATAGGAGTCATAATAAACAGTCTTGCGGTGGTGGCGCCACGTGAGTAGAAAGGGCGAAGGGGGGGGGGGGTGGTGGGGCCTACTTGGAGAGAAGCCCCAAAACACGTCTCGCTTGTGTATTACAGCTCTTGTTCTTATGATCTACCTTCAAGTCGACTTACAGCAATCTCATGAATGGGAGGCCTTTAAAGGCGCATCTACACTGTAGAATTAACTCAGTTTGACATCGCTTTGACTGCCATGGCTCAAGGCTATGGAACCTGGGGAACTGCAGTTAGGTAAGACCCCAGAACTTTTGGACAGGAAAGCTTAAAGACTTTGTCAAACTATAACCCCCATGATTCTGTAGCATTGAGCCATGACAGTGGTATCAAACCGCATTAAGTCTACGGTGTGGACACACCTTTCGCCTGTCATCAACAGCCCTGCTCTGGTCATGCAGACTCAACAGTTGCAGTCTCAACAGTTGAGTTTCTCCATCTGGGCCCCCCAGTGGTGCAGCAGGTTAAACGGTTGAGCTGCTGAACGGTTGGCAGTTCGAATTCCAGGAGTGGGGTGAGCTCCCGCTGTTAGCTCCCGCTTCCGCCAACCTAGCAGTTCAAAAACATGCAAATGTGAGTAGATCAATAGGTACCGCTCCGGTGGGAAGGTAACGGAGCTCCATGCAGTCATGCTGGCCACATGACCTTGGAGGTATCTATGGACAACGCCGGCTCTTTGGATTATTTATTTATTTACTTTATTTATATACCGTTTTTCTCAGCCCTCAGGCGACTCAAAGCGGTGAACAACATCGATACAAAACATCACGAGACAAGTATAGGGCAGTTAAAAACAATTGTAACATAAATCATTAAACATCAGTATTAGAAATGGAGATGAGCAGCACCAGTCCCAGAGTTGGACACGAATAGACTTAATGTCAAGGGGAAACATTTCATTTTACCTAAGGCTCCAGAAATGTTAAAAGAAAAAGGTTAAAGACCTTGTCAAACAACAACCCCCATGATTCTGTAGCATTGAGCCATGACAGTGGCATCAAACTGCATTAATTCTACGGAGTGGACTCACCTTTCACCTGTCATCAACAGCCCTGCTCAGATTGTGCAGACTCAACAGTTGCAACCTCCTTGACTGAGTTTCTCAATCTGGAATGTCGTTACTTGCTTTTCCTACTGCCTTCTAGCTTACCAAACATTATGATCTTTTATAGGAAGTCATGACGTCCTATGATAGCAGGTTAGTCTAGGCCTCTGGCAGAGTACAGGCCTGTTTGGAGGGCCCTGTATATTTACAATAGACTGTCATTTAACTGGAACTCATGCAAACAGAACATTCAAGTCACCGAAGAAAAAGTTTTAAAAAAACTCAATTCACACAGCAGTTTTTATAAAGAAGTAAAACTGTTACATTAAGTTCAGTTTGTCTTCATTTGTCTTAATTTGCTCTTAATTACTATATTTCAGTATTAATATTGTCAATACAGAGTTTATTATATACTATAGTATGGGCTGGAGCCACCTGGTGGCACGGCTGGTTAAACTGCTAAGCTGCTGAACTTGCTGACTGAAAGGTTAATGGTTCTAATCTGGGAACCAGGCTGAGCTCCCACCATTAGGCACAGCTTCTGCCAACTTAGTAGTTTGAAAATATGCAAGTGTGAGTATATCAATAGGTACCACTTCTGCAGGAAGGTAAAGGTGCTCCATGCAGTCATGCTGGCTACATGAACTTGGAGGCGTCTATGGACGATGCTAGCTCTTCAGCTTAGAAATTGAGATGAACACCAGACTCCAGAGTCAGACACGACGAGACTTAATGTCAGGGGAAACCTTTGCCTTTTCATAGTAAGAGCTATAGTTAGGTCTATTTTCAATAGACACCCTCAAGTGACCAAAAACTACATTTATCCAAAATCTACAAATTGCCATGAGTGCTAGTTAACTGAAAGTCTACTGTGTATGTAAATATACATAGAGAGAGAGAGAGACACCCTGGGATCAGTGCCCCTGTTCAAGCGAAGAATGCCATTTCTCCTTTATCGGGTTTGTAGACGACTTTCAGCTTGCTCACCAAGCAGCCAATAATTATTGCTTGCTCACCAGGCAGTCAAGGGCCCTTCCAGACAGACCCTATATCCCAGGATCTAATCCCAGATATTCTGTTTATCCCAGATTATCTGGTGGTGCAGACTCATATAATCCAGTTTAAAGCAAAAAACAAAAACAAAACAAAAACAAAACTGGGATCAGATCCTGGGGTTTAGGGCCTGTCTGGAAGGGCCCTAAGTAATAAGCAATACCAGCTGAAATTTCCTCTTCCTCACATCTGGAACCATTTCCAGTTTTTACTCTAACAATCCTAATACTAAGTAAATTTATAAAATGTTTAAAATATTTTTCACTATATCTGATCATTTCAACCTGCCATACAATAAAATCAATGTTTAAAGAATATATAGCAATAATTTTAAAATCCAAAGAAGGTTAATTTAAAGGCAGAAATGCAAATAAACAGAAAAAGCTTAAAGTTATCTCATAATTTGTTCCCTTATTTCTATATGTTTTGGGTGCCCATTAATGCAAAAAAAAGTTTACAAAACACATTCTTCCCCATAAGAAATTAAGGCTCCTTCCACACTGCCCCTATATCCCAGGACCTGATCCTAGATTCTCTGCTTTAACTGGATTATATGAGTCCACAGTGCCACTGAGATAAGCAGACAATCTGGGATCTGATCCTGGAATATTGGGCAGTGTGGAAGGGCCCTCAGTGCCACACAGTTGAATATATATGAGTCCCCAGTGCCACTGAGATAAGCAGTCAATCTGGGATCTGATCCTGGAATATTGGGCAGTGTGGAAGGGCCGTCAGTGCCACACAGCTGAATAAAACCCAACATTATCTGCTTTTAACTGGAATGTATGGCACTGTGGACGCAGGGCCCTTCCACACAGAAAGACTTTAGCATATCAAGGCAGAAAATCCCACAGTATCTGTCTTACATTGTCTCTATGTGGCGGCCCTTCCACACATCCCCATATCCTAGAATATCAAGGCAAGAAATTCCACATTATCTGTTAAAAGTTGATATTGTGGGATTTTCTGCCTTAATATTCTGGGATACAGGGCTGTATGGAAGGGCCCTGGGTTAAAAGTCTATTCCTCCTTTGGAGATTGTTTTCTATGATTAAGGCTTCTAGGTGGTTTGAAGAGCCTAACATAATTTGCATTTGCATTACATTTTGTTACTAGAAATGTAATCTAGCTCTCAATAGTTCATGTATGTGGGTGTGTTATTTTTTGACAATATTTGAAAAAAGGTCATTCCATTTTGGAACATCTTGCTGCAACGCATCTGCGTAGGTTAAGTGTGGAAGGTAGGTCACTGTATCTATTTTTATCATCACACTTAAGCATGTTTTCACTACATCAGCAAAAACCTATCCTCATCTGCTTTTTGCTCACCTCAACCTTGGCCCAGTGTTTCAAATATAGGGAAGAAAGTCACAGGGCCAAGCAAGTACAATTGGATCAGTGCACTTAGAGACTTTAACTTGGTATTGGATATAGCACATTTCTTTTTAATTCTGGGAAAGGCTAATGGGCAATGATTTCTAAATCAGCATTTAATTATTTTTTTAGGGAAGCAGCTCTTGGAATGTTCTCATTCTAGAATAAATAAGTACTATTCAAAAAGTCCTTTAAAATGCTTTTAGATCCCACTCAAATTTCCTTCTTAATGATCTCTATGAAACAAGATACCAAAGAAATGGATATTGTGATTTCATATTATTTGTGACCAAGATCTGAAAGATCTACTCAATAAATTTTGTGTTTCCAAGTGTACTTTGCATTTGTGTGTCTTGGACACCAGCAACCCACCACCCATCTGCTGGACAGAAAATTAATCTGAAAGGGAGTGATATCTGAAATGGGATTTGTGATATCTGGTGTTTACCCTTTTCAGGTGCCTTTGAAATAACACCTCATCTCCCATCTCACTAGTAAATGTGAACTGGTGGGCCAGACTAAAAGAGTGCTTTTAATTCCAGGTTTGTATTTTGAATGCTTGATCTATTACAAACTCTCAAGTTTCTTTTTCTGTTGACCTTCACTTATTGACAAAACCATAACTGCATTCTTTTCATTTTGTTATCTATTTAAAGACACAATGTGTTCATCTTGATGCCTTGATGTTATACAATGCCTGATCAACTCAAGAAGGTGAAGACCTCAGAAAAGACAACAGATACTATACCTCAAGGGTACTGTGCTTTTCACTAAATGTCAGTCATGGCTCTCTGGTATGTGCACCAGCTGCTGAACAGAACAGTTTAATCTGAAATGCTATGTGTACTTGGTAACTGTTACTCTGGTCACCAAGTTTATTCAGAGTGTTTTAAGTTTGACAGAGACAATGAGTGCTTAAGGCATGTATACAAACATGTGGAGAGGGGGAAAGGGTAGGCAGCTCAGGCAATACCTCAAATAATGTCCTTCATACAGATATCAACATGAATATTAATTTTCATTATATATTAACAAAAAGAGGTGATGTAGTAATGTGTTGCTAATACATTCAAAATTTATTTTTCTTCTAGGGATTACTCTGATCTTAAGAGGCTTCTTGCACTTCTAAATGTACAATCAAGCAAACAACAGGTATTTTTCAATAACCTTTGTTTGACCTGTCACTTTATTAAAGTGAGCAACAGTTAATTTTGTTTTATTGATCTGTTTCTTAATGCAAAACATGAGGTTAAAATATTTTTTAATCTTTCCTTTCCACAGTTAACTTTCTGGTTTCAAACTCTGTTATTGTACAATGACTCATATAAATGTAGAGTTATATTTTTTTGTGTTTTCTTTTGTTAGTTTTGCTTACAAAGTAACTAGAGATTTTTAGAAAGTATAAAAAGACAACATCCTTAGGCTGCAATGAGGGCAGGTACTACATTCTTTGTTGCTGTACTAAATGTTGTCAGTTTTACACTCACTTGTTGAAAACAGCAATAGAGAAACAGCCTGCTCTTTCCTCCCTCTCTCAATAAATCTCTGCTCTTGTACTCCATAATGCAGAGTTACTAAGTACATGGTCCATTCATTACATGTATCTCTCACTTTTTTTTTTGCAGTCCCAGAAAAATATTAAAACAAAAGTTTATTCAATTCCATGAATAGTGTGAAGAATTTGTGCAACATACTCTACAGCATTAGAGTGACTCCTGGAGATATTGTGCACAGAGTGCCCTCTTCTGAGGAGCCTTCCACACAGCCTATATCCCAGAATACCAAGGCAGAAAATCCCACAATATCTGCTTTGAACTGGGTTATCTGAGTCCACACTAAGATAATGTGGGATTTTCTGCCTGGATTTTCTGGGATATAGCGCTGTGTGGAAGGGCCCTGAGAGTATCATGCATGGTCTTTCGTGTCTTCATAATTATTGCTTGCCATCTTTTGGAGATTTTTAATCTAGTGTGAACATGTTAGAAGCATGGGCCCAGTTTCTGTTGTCCTTATCAAATTAAGGCTCTTAATATTATGGTCACTTAGACTTCTTCCACACAGCTGAATAAAATCCCACATTATCTGCTTGGAACTGGAATTTATGGCAGTGTGGACTCAGATAACCCAGTTGAAAGCAGATATTGTGGGTTATTCTGCCTTGATATTCTGGGTTATATGTCTGTGTGGAAGGGCCCTCAGTTGGGAGTAACTCTCAGTAATGCATTGAACTCTGTGGGACTTACTTTTGAGTCACTTTGTATAACATTGAAGTTCTATGTAAAGTTCATTTTGCATAAGAGCAAACAGGCATAAAACTGCTCCTTTTTAATGTTTATGTTGTTAAAGTAGTAAAAGAATTTTAGGTTGGATATAAGTCTATAATACATTTATGATATTTATTTAATTCCCAAGGCCATATTTTCACAGAAAGGCAAGCTTTTTTGGTTTGCTATTAAATATAATGATTGACTTTTACTTCTGGTGAATCCATGAATGAGAGGTGAATGATGATACTTACTCTAAATAGATAGACTCAGGTCCAGGACTCCTTGTTTGAGACCATTTGGAGCATGGCCTTTCTCCTTTCATCCTGTCTTCCACATTACTAACCATTTTTATATTTTCTACTATGTCATATCTTCTCATGATATGTCCAAAGTATGACAGTCCTACTTAGAGAGAGTTCAGGCTTGATTCCCTGATTTGTCTTTTTGGGAATTCATGAAATTTGTAGAACTTTTCACCAGCACATTTCAAATAATTGATTTTTTTCCTACCAGCTCCCCCCCCCCCCCCCCCCCCCCCCCCCAGTGTTTTCTTTTACAACCATATATAGAAAGGGGAAATGTGATGGCATGGACAATTGAAATTTCAGTATTCAAAGACATGACACTTAAAGTCTAGCTTCTGAGCTGCCCTTCCAAATCCTAGTTTTCCTCTGATTTCTTGACTGCAGATCCCACTCTTCTTAATGACTGACCCGAAGTAGAGAAAATCTTGAACTGTTCCAATGTCGAACATGTATAATAATACCCTACATTTGTGGGGCTTAAGCTTGGAGGACCGTCATGAAAATCTACGAATACATCTAGGACCTGCTCAATGGCAGCAAGGGGCCAGGGAGAAGGGAGAGGGTGCTGTTGCCACCACCATGGTTCCCAGGCGGCCATTGTCATTGCAACAGTTCCTAATGGGGTTGCTGTAATTGCTGTAGTTTCCAGGGGGTTTGTATCACCTCCACAGTTCCCAGGGGGCATATTCACTCTTCCTGACTCTTTCTCTCCTGCCTCCCTCTCTTGTAACTCAGTTACATGTGGAGATGCCGGGCACAGCAGGGGGAAAGAGGCTGGGAAGGAGGCTAAGCTGGGAAGACCTTGATGAATGCATGTGGAGGAGACCTTCTTGCCTCCCTCTTCTGTTGCATTAACATTTCCAGAAACAGTACTTCTGCATTATCCATTAAGACGGTTATTCTTGCATCAGGAAGGTTTTTGAAAATATCTCAGTTTTATGTCTGTTTTTGTGGAGATTTCATGAGAAGTTAAGTAGGATTCAAGTTTCTTTCTCTTTTACGTGGAGTTAAACAGTACAAGGGAAAGACTATGCTGCTTCTATCTTTCTATACTTTGCCTGTTGTTATTGTGAGAGTGCCTAGTGTGTCATCATAATCTTTTCCTCTCAGTATTCTCTTCGATATGGGTTCTGCATCTCTTCATATCTGCATCCAACCATAGAGAAGAGGCATTAAGAACTCCAGGGTGCCTTTTAAACTGCTGTGCATATTAGCTCTTTAAAACTGCTGTGTGTATTAGCACCAAGTAAGTGACTTAGTGTCCTAGTAACAATCATGAATATTTGTGAGTCTTTCTTAATTACTTTACGCCATTTGCCTAATATTAAATCTCCCTTGCATTTGCAGCTGCCAGCTCTTAATTTTGAATGTTCTAATAATAGTATGGTGAAGTCTGAGCAATACTGCAGCAACACTTCTGGAGAGAGATGTAGAGGTCAATGGCAAGAATCAACTGAAGCTGTTGAACTTGAACGCTTTAGGTATAGCACACTGAAGATAATAAATGTTTACATTGTTTTTGTGGGTCCAATGAATTCCTATCATATACGGTTCCTTTCCCATTTTGCTACTGAATGTATTCTTGAACTTTTAGCTTAAAGTGACATTAATATTTATTACTGACTTATATATAAAGACTGATTAGAAATTATGACCCGATCATCCTGAATTCTAGTGTACATGTATCACTGAATTTCAGGAAGAGATTGTATTCCAGAAATCTCTTCTGGTAGGTGGAGATTTGTCCAGGAATTCACACTTTCAGGTAGCACAGTAGTACCATGTCGGAGTTTATTTTCATCAAGGTGTTACTCTTTCTAGTATGAACTTGACTGCATATCCATTCTCAGAACAGATTACATGGGTGGGAGGACACCTCTCCTCCTTCAGTTGGTATTTGTCAGCAGTAAGTCCAGCCTTATCTAGTCACCCTTTTGTTGTTCATGCATGCTCAGTAAAGGATTATAGAATCAGCTGTTGTTTACCTTGCCTGTTGTAGGCAGGTACACACTTACAGCAGGATCGCCTACAGTAAAATTATATTTTCCCCAGCTCAAACTTTATTGCATTGTTTACTGGAGACATACTATCTGAACCTGGCATCAAAAGTCTGTTTTTTTATTTTAAAAAACCATCCTGCCAATTCCAGTGCTATCAAAAAACCTTCAGGTAGACAAGAGAAAAAAGGGGAAGGCTGGGTGAATACAAAAGACTTTGATTAAAACATCTTCCTTAAGAGAGACTTTGTTAGCTTATACCTGTACTGTGTTCGTGTTTTTAGTATGAATTACAAGAATGAAAGAAATTTTAGCCAGCATCCACAGCATGAGTTGTTTCAAGATATCTTCACAGCTTTGGTTAAGAACCGTCTTATTTGCAGGTAGGAAACATGTGTTTTGTTTGTTTCATTTATATCCTTCTTTTCTCTCAATATCAGGACCCAAAAGCACACAATAACAAGGGTGGGCACAGGGCAAGGGGTAAAGCTTCCCACAAACCACCACACAGGGCGGTCTTCATGTCTTCATGTGTGATTGAATCTAGTTTTTTTTTTTTGTAGTCAACATAGAAAGTTTCCCCGACTTTCTTCAAGTGTATAGTAGACATCATGCTATGGTTTACAGTTAACTGAAGTTAACACTTATTGTAATCAGTTGTTAAATGGTTGAAAGGAGTGTATTCTCTACATGACTGAAATCAAATCAGCCTTTGAATCTCCTCCTTAATCTTGTTTTATTTTATTTTAAATTGAATTCTTGTGAGAATGTGGAAAAGCGCCATTGGATCTGGTAAACTTTTTTGTCCAGAGAGATTACACAGACTAACTCAGGTCTTGGGAGACTACTTGCATCCACTGCAACGTGGTCTTTATTTTTATCATATTATTTTTAGCCTTTGGCTTGATTCCCAGTATGGAATTGACCTGGCACAGTAATCAACCATCTCTGTTGCTGGGAGGGAATGAGAGAAGTGAAAATACAAACAAAAGTTTTGCATTGTATTTATACAGATACTTTACCATATACCCTGAGGAAGGCCCATCCATAGCCAAGAACAAAATTGTTCATTATTCCTTTACTCATACATATAAAATAAATTAATATAAAACTCTATCTGAATATTCATATAACTGACAAGTTTACAGACTGTATGCTTTTTTATTTCTGTGTTATGTTGATGTCAAATCTCAAATTATAATGCTGGTCTAAACAATACAGTATTTTAAATTAAAGATTCAGTGCATTTCAATGAAATGTTAGTAGTTTAGACTGAAATAATTGAGATACAAGTCAGACTATGACTTTGGATATGGATTTGGATTTGGACTTGGATTTGTTAACTTTTAAATGGATATTTTAACATACTGTTTTAATTAATGTTTTAACTGATTTTATTACTACTGTTTGCTGGGCATCTAATGACTGTTGATTGTGAGCTGTCCTGAGTCTCCCCCCTCCCCCGGGGATGAGAAGATAAATGTTCTAAATAAATAAATAAATAAATAAATAAATAAATGCAAATTGTGTGCAATATTGTGTGTATCTTCATGACTGCATATGCCTCTATGAACCGGCATGGATGCTAATATCTGCTGGGGCCACCCTTCTCTTGCTTCCACGACCGTCATAAGCATGGCTGGTTGGGATGAGGGAGAGGGCCTTCTCAGTGGTGGCCCCTTGACTTGGAACACTCCCCCCCCAGAGAGATTAAGCAGGCCCTCGCACTGTCCACCTTTCATAGGGACCTGAAAACCTGGATGATTACTTCCTAGGTTGTCAGTTAGTACTTTGTTCTGCACTTTCTCCACATCCCCATCTCTATGATACACTGTTGCACTATCCCTTGCCCAGCCCTTCTGTAGTTGACATGCCCATTTTGTACTTCTGGCCATAGGTTTTGTTGAACCTCATCTGATGGAGTGATAGCTGCAATTGGTTTAAATTTTTATTGTTGTGTTTTAGCAGGATTCCTCTGTTTTATGTTTTTTTTAAATCTGTCTGTATGATTTTCTTCTTGGTAATTGAATATTTTGTCTTAGATGTTGATAATTGCCCCGAATTCCTTCAGGGATATAGGGCAGTATATAAATAAAGTATTTATTATTATTATTATTATTATTATTATTGCATGAATATTGTTAAAAAGAATTTCAAACTAGTTTGTTCTATGGATTTTTTTTAATTTGAACAGAGAGTGAATGGCATGTTGTTTTATCTGCTTATTTGCAGGGAGTGGGCTAACCGAGCTTCATCTACCCATTTCCTGAGAATTTTAATTTGTGTGAGATTGTTAATGAGAGATGCATGCTATCAGGTAGGTTTCTCTGTGGACAAATAAAATCAGAATATAGCACAGTTTTTGTTGAAAGGTGATATTAAATTCAGCAGTTTAATAGAACAGCACTATTTCATATTAAGCTAGTAAACTGATGTACATCATTTGCCAAGTCCTGTATTTAACACATCCTTTTAACATGTCAACAATATAACTGGAGAAATGTCTTAGTCCTATCTTTTCTTTCTTTGTGAGAAAAAGAGACGTGAATTAGAAACTTCTTGTTCCACAAATCAGGTCCTCCTCTCTCTAGCTGACCGAGGAGGCTTTAAATAGGGGGAATCTTTCCCTACTCTCCTCTCCTAGAAGGCGTAACTAACCTGAACACTTTTTCTCCCTAGCTGGGTATTCTGGTCACACATATCTAGAAAGTCAAGCATTGGGAAGTTGAGGAAAAATAAAACTCTTAAACAAGAAGGTTTGCATCACAAAGGCATAGGATCATTGCACTACTCTAAGTGCAAATTTAAGATAAAATAAGAGCATCTCATTTATACCAAGGACAAACCTATGGAAATAATTGAAATCCCTGTACATCTAGCTAACTACTCTGTAGTCTGTTCACACACAGACACACACATTATTTTACAGCCTCCATGCTATCATTATGATAGGAAACACAGCATTTGCCAAGACCTTCACTGGCTGAGTGAGCAAAGACCAACACAAAACAAAGACTGGGATGGAGACAAAAGAACTCTTGGCAAGCTTTTGTTTATAACTCTCTTTTACCAGGACTGAATGGTTACTCCACGTCCTATAACTCCTCACCATTCTGTCCAAATTATGAATAACCGTGTCACTGTTTGAACCCTTGTTATGCCTGCCTCCTTGCAGGGCTGTTTTGTTCTAATAAGAACAACAATAGACACATATTCACTGGAAATGCTCAGAGATTCTGCACAATCTGTGAAATGAGGCGTGATGAATAACATGGGTCTTAATTTTAATATAAGTGTAATTCAGATTGGTTCAGATCCTGCAGGTGAGAAATGGACAATGAAAGTGGTAAACATTCTCAGTCTTTCAATGTGAGTGTGGAAAAGTACTGATCTTTTAAGTTGCAAATACAGAAAGCCCAGAAAACATATTCAGAGATAACGGTGTTGACCAAATGAGGTGAAATGAGGCTTACAGCACAAAGCATCCAAGGTTGTACTCAGCACAATGTCAGCCCAAATGAGACACCACATTTCAGCTTTCTTTGAGCATGGTAGAGCTAATTTCAGAAGCATGCGAGTGAAAAGCAGCTATTATACCTAGAAAACAACATGCCTGGTGCTTTTGCAGATTGACCATCAATATAACTATCCCAGAGAGCAAGACCTACCTCCCATGCTTCACATCTAATCCTGCCACTGAGTTTATGGACTCTGCACTACCACTACTATCCACATATACAGAGGACCATAAGGGACACATTTATCCTGCATCTGATTAACCCAGAGAGGATGCCAGACAGAAAGCAACAGACATCCCAATACTACCGAGAGAAGACACAGGTAGTATTCAGTTCGGAAGGGAGCAGGGAAACTACATTGCAACACAGAGAAAACATCTTTCATACTGAGCAGCTTGCACACAAGAAAAAGGAACTTTTCTTGCAGATGGGAAAAGGCAACCTCACAACACCCCCATCAAGTAATTGATTCTGTGCTGGACAGCCAAGAATCTTGCCTGCAGCTAAGCTTCTGAGATCAAAGCTTGATCCAGCTTCCTCTGATATCCACACTATGAGCTTAAGATTGTGACATCAATTAAATGAAAGTTAGTGTACCTAGAGTGACCTGCTAGTGTAGGTGCTAGGATGCCTATGATCATTTGGAAGATTAACATACTTAGCTTGTTCTACTTATTTCCTCTCAACTAGGAAGCTCTCCACAACCTGGGTGGGATTGAAAGCTTGGCTCAGGTAACCATTTCTTGTCTTGCCCCTCATATTTAATCACACATTAACTTGCAATGTATAAAGATCTGACATTACAACAAAGCAGGTCATTGTTGCTTTTGAAGAGTAAGTTGTGCAAGCCACACTAAGCACATGCAATATTTCCTGTTTCTATGGAACTGCAAAACAATGTTTCCTGCAGTTCAACTGCATTACAGCAGTGACTCCTTTATAATTTGGTTAAACTCTTAAGTGGCTTGCTTCAGAAAAAAGAGAATTTCTCTTTGTGAGAGAGCGGAATTGCCCGACCTGCTAGGTTGGGCCATCTGGCTTATTCTTTATAATTGGATGTCTGTTGGGAGAAAAAAACAGGAATTGAAACATACAGTTTGAGTATTGTAGAAATAGCTTAGATAGCCAACTGTGTAGAAACAGTTAAGAGAGTCAGTGTGGTGTGGTTTGAAGCATTGAGCAACAACTCTGAAGACCAGAATTTGAATCCCCGCAGAGCCATAGAAACCAACTGTGACTTTTGGCAAGTCACAATCTCAGCAGGAGGCAAAGGCAATCCTCCTCAGAACAAATCTTGCCAAGGAAAACTCATCATAGGTTCACCTTAGGGTCACCATCAGTTCGAAATGACTTGAAGGCACACAACAATAAGAAACAGTTAACACATGCTTGCTGCGTACAGTGCTCTTTTTATCAATAAATGCACTAACTTTAAATTCAACCTTTTAAAGTATATTTTATTCATGTTTATACTACTCATGTTACGTCTGTAAAACCAACAGAAAGCTATAGTGAGCAAGCTTTAGAGTTAGTCATAGCTCTTCTTGGGACTAGGAGTTAAGCAAAAAAGAGGGCCAGAAGGGAGGTGGGAGAGAAGAGGCATGAAGAATCTTGCAGTTTGTTTTTTTCTATATTCCCACTAGAAGTTCATTAAACAAATTAAAATAGCTGTCTTCCACATCCACTTTTGTTGAATTCAAAAGATTTCCCACTATTTTATCCTGTTTTAGTTGGCCACGTGGAAGCAGATGTAAGAAAACCGTAGCCCTCTAGATATTATCTTATCAGATCTGCTCAGCATATCTAGTTTCCCAGAGTAATTGGGATTATAGTCTTATCAGCATCTGAAAAGCCAGGGTTTCTCATTCCCATATTAAAGATTTCAACCTACTATTTATTTAAACCTTTTTCTATGGTTCTTTACCATTTTAGTAAAGGCTAAGAGGAGGCTAGTTAATCCTGTCTGAACTTTTTTTTCGTGTCAGGAGTGACATGAGAAGTGACTTGCAAGTCACTTCTGGTGTGAGAGAATTGGCCATCTGCAAAGTTGCCCAGGGGACACCCCGATGTTTGATGTTTTACCATCCTTGTGGGAGGCTTCTCTCTTGTCCCCTCATGGGGAGCTCAACCCTCTCTCCCCGGATTCAAACCGCTGACCTGTCAGTCTTCAGTCCTGTCCGCACAAGGGTTTTACCCATTGCACTACCGGGGGCTCCATGTCTGTAATGTAATAAACCCATAATCTGTAAATAGTGAAATTGTTGCTAGTGCTTGCAGCAGCCCAGCAATTTCCCTAATCATATGCTTTGAGCTTAGTGCCAGTTTTAGATATGATTACTACATTCCTCTTACTATGTACAACAATTGTTACTATGTTTTGGAGAAGCAAATTAGAATTGTTTCTAATTGTTTTTTAAACTATTCCTTAAACAGTATCTTACCTTTTAAGTAACAATAATTGAAGCAGAAGAACAGAGCAACCATTCCTAAAAAGCATGTTTATGATCTACTACCTATCAAACTGGCTCATAACAAGCCCAATTTTTGGCCTAAATAACTAGATATTGTTTATGTTAATCAAGAAAAGTTTTTGCAGATTCTGACGTGTCTTTCTCCAACTTCAAATAAAGATGACAAAACTTGTGCTTTGCACACTTCCTTGCAAGAAAAACATTGGATAAAGAAACCACAGAGTCGTGCATTACAGTTTATTGTAGGAATGTATTTTTGTAGCAATTTCAGAGAGTTTTCCTAGTATTGTAACTATATTTTTGTAAATACTTTGTAATACATGTAAAGCAAGTGTGCCATCTACTGTTGATCCATGTGTACTTTATTTTTAAAATTACTTTCTATTACTTTCCACAGTGTAATAACACATTTTAATGTTTTCTGATCTATAGTATATGGATGCAGTAGCAAATGACTATCTTGGCTACGGAGAGCAACAACATAATATAGACAAATTGGTCAATCTGACATGTAAGTTTGAATCTCAAGACCGCCCCCTTTCTCAAGATTAACCTTGGTTTAGTTTGCAGTGGTGATTTATACTAATGTCAAAGAATCATGTGACTTCCTTACACATTACTATTTTAGAGTTGTAACTTAGGGTTTGGAGAGTTTTTTCTTAGTTAATAAAATTAATTCCTTTGCAGAGGCTTGTGACATACTTAATTTTCCTTACTCCACAGATATTTTCCAAAAACTGTCAGCTGTTAAAGATCAAAGAGAATGGGTTATAAACAGTGGAGCACATAAGGTAAGTAACATGTATCTGTTAATTAATCCATTTTAGAGGGAAGTTTTGTGCTTTCCAAAACAATTTTTTAATTCAACAGAATTACTTCACATTTAGCAATTGCTTTTTTAAAACTATGATTAGGTCCAGAAGTGATGAATCAGTTAATTAGTAAGCAGAGTAAGGTGATCCAGTTCACATGATCCTTGAAACGCTGAATGATTTGTCCATTTTACTAAGTTCCTTGAGCTAGTCTGTCATTCTGAGTTGTTAATAAACTTTAGCAAAGCAATAGAAGTAATGTCACATCAAAACAACCTCTTTTTAAATTTCTTTTAAAAAATCAGTATGATTACAGAGAAAATACTGGACTCCAGTAATTTGAAAGCATGACTGCCTGGAATCTTAGTACAAAAATGGGGATTCCAGAAAAGAGGGCTAATATAGAAGCAATTCCGATATAAAATAACTACAAGCCAAGGCTTAGATGTTATTGAACACCTAACATATGAGAGTGGTCATAGGATCTTCTGTTTGTGCAATGAGAGTCTGGATGCCTCAATTCATCAGTGACAAAAATGTCAAACTACCAGGATGTGCACCTTGACACAATTCTAAATCAGTTTCCGAGGCAGCATTTTCAAGCCTATGAAAATTAAGTTTAGTTTACACTGATGCATCATAAGATTGAGAATAATTTCCTAACTTCTACTTCTGTCTCAGAGTAGTTTATTTTTAAGGACACATGGGTAGGATCAGTTGTGTAGTTCCTATTTTCTTGTTGTGGATGAGTTGGGAGCACAGATAATATTTAGGTGAGAAATAGGGTTAAACAGTCCCAAGGTTCCTGTAGCTAAATAGTTCCAGGGTGACAGAAAAGATGTCAAGAATGTCATGGACAGTCCCACACTGCTGCTGCTCAAGTGTGAACTGGATCTGTGGAGTGCATATAACTCTACGAACTGTTTCATTGTTGCCTGTGAGGAACATGTACTCGCATGTATTTTACTTACAGCATGTGTCCTGTATTAAAATAGGGGTAAAATTCATCTATTATGGCATGCAACAGTAGCAAGAGGATCTGATTTTATATATTTTTAATGCCAGAGCTTTTTGTGCGATCATTTAGGAATTTTGTTGGCTTACACAACTGCAAGCAATTTTATTTGTATATAACCATTTGGACTTTACAAAACAAAAACAGAATTGTTTAATGCAATATGTGCTAAATTTCTATTTTAAAAACAGCAGTGTGTTTGTAATAGTTGCTAAACAGTAGCTTGTTTTTCACTTTTTGATAATTAATGTAACAATTGTTTTTCAGACTTTAATCAATCTACTTGGAGCTAGAGAAAATAATGTCATTTTAGGTGCATTGCTTGCTCTTACTAGTTTAGCTGAAAGGTAAGTACCAGTGTGATGATTGTTGATTTGTCTTTGCTTGTAAAATGAGTGATGTATTTAATGGGAGTGCAATTTTGATAATCTGATAATCTAATTATAAACTCATGAAAACATGAAATCATATGTTATTTTTATATTCTTAATTTGCATTTGGTCATCTACTGGCATGTCTCCAAGGTGCACTGAAGAAAGCCATTTTAGCATGATTTCTTCAGTTATATAGTATGATCTCCATTTGAGCAAGAGATAGTGTCAGGACTTGTTGTGGATATAGAAAAGTGTGGGTAATAACAAACCCTATTGAATAAGGCCAAGTTATGCTGGGGAACTTAGGAAATGCCTAGAGAGAACACCTCTCTAGGCATCACTAAGTCTTCTAGTCTGTGATCAATTTATGGTTGAAGTGTTCCAAAGAATCACCTTGAAGACCTAGAAAATGCCTAGAGAGGGCATATCTTCTCAGATGTGAGGAAATGAAACCATAGGTACTGATCTTGCCAATAGATAGATAGATGGAAAAATAGAGTACATGTTCACACTGAGCTCTGTTTAAGCCTATTTACAGTTTGTGTAACTACAGTCTGCAGTGTGAAGCATCTCTCATATCATACAAAAATGTATTTTCCAATGTAAACAATTTTTATATACACCTGCAGGTCAAGGTGGGATAATTGAGGGATAATTCATCACATGAATGCTATGGAAAGCTTATTGGCATAATCATACAAAGAATCATACTGTTGTATTTTTAATACTGTTACATTTAATTCTGTTTTAATGTTTGCATATTTGTATATTTTAAATTATGTGGTCATACTTTTAATGTAAGCCGCTTTGAGTCTCCCTCGGGAAAGATAAAGCAGGGTATAAATAGACATAACTTAATAACAATACACTTTGTAGTAATGATCACTTGCTTTGCATCATATTTGGATTTGTTTACAGAGTACTTAGGTAAGTTTGAAATTAAAGCAAATGCTCTGCAAGAAAAAAATGGCACCTTAGTTAATAGTGAGAGTTCCAGTGCTGCTTTTTCTTTAATTTACTACTTATAATTTCAAAAGGCTACTCCAGGATAAAGACAATGAAGTAGAATTTATCAACAGATTTTTTGATATCACTTTGTTTCCCCAGTAGTAAGTCCTCAGATGGACATTTTAAATTAAAATACATGTTAAATTAGCATAACAGATTACCAGTAAGTTAGATAACAAGTTTGTGTTATCACTAACTGCTCCTGTAATCACTATGTTTATGTTTTATATATTTATCCTTTTATGCAATATCACAGCCTGTACCACTTTAATTTTACAGTTTTAGATCTAGACTATACTTAGAATCCACTGAAATCCATGAAAAAAGCTTGTCACAAAATTACACTGACTAGTTTGGCAACTAAATGCATCTACCTTTATCTGGAGGCATCCCAAAAGGCTATTAGTACCCAAGGTTTACAGTTTTTCGTGTGTCACAGATTCTGCAATGTTTTTGCATTTTCTTTTTATGCCTTGACACATATGAATAATGGTATACTGATATTTATACATTACCAACTAGCCCCAAGTTCACAGAATTGTTTCAGAATTTAGATTGGCAGTGACCTGGGGCATGGAGCAATTCATGCATCTCTATAACACTGAGATTCTGTGCTTATACAGTGAACAGCAAGTCCATGCTTCCTGCATTATATCAGTTCTGTTGAATTTATACTGATTTTTTTGCTTCTGAAATGCAATGCAATGAACATAATTTAATGTCTGGGCCTTAGGAAGGACTTACAGCCCCCTTATTATACTACTAAGGTTCACTGTGCTTGAATGACAAGTTCATTTCTGAAACAGCTGCTCTAGGGTTATACAACATATTTCTCTTGGCAGTTTATCAAGTGCCAGGCCTCTCAACTCAGGAAATAGTGTAAAGTATAGGCCTCTTTTTCAGGTTTGATAATAGTCATGTTGTTAGCTGGCAGTTGTTTGTTTTAATTGAAGTGGAATTGAAACTTAGATACTTTTCATCATGACAGAATACATCACACATTTTACAAGCTATTAATAGTGTGAATTTAGGGAACATACAGTCAGGGAAATGCTTTGCAAGAAACATTATCTCTGCACAGTTTCCAAAATGAATATTTTAATGTCTTTGTTTTAGTCCTGAATGCCGGGAAAAAATTAGTGAGCTCAACGTTATGGAGAATTTGTTGGTGATACTGCATGAATATGACTTGCTCTCAAAAAGGTAGAGTACGTCTCAATTTGCATTTTATGTGTTGAGAATTTCCAGCCACTTAGCCAGTGTTCATGCCATTTGTTCAGCATTCACTTTCTCTCTCTGCAACAGAATATTATTTTTCTTAAATGGAAGTATCCTTCAGAGGTAAATTGATTTCTGAGTCAGGCATTTATGCATGAAGCATACATTTTTTAGGCAAATCTATTTCTAAATCTGGAATTTTAGATATATGGCATGCATTTTAAAAGAAATATTAACTAGACTCCCATCAGTAGTACTACCACCTTGCCCAAAGGGTGGGATTATATTCTCCTGGGAAGCAGGAGCCTATGCTGCTTGTAGTAGTGCTTCCAGTAGAGTCTTCCATGTAAAACACCTTAAAACCGAACAAAGACAGAAAAAGAAGGAACATTCTTGATACTTGACACTGTATCCGCATTATTCTACTCAGTATTCTAAGAGAAAATGCTGAATCCTAAAGTATGTTCTCATTTATTCCTCAACGTAATGTACTTGACAATTAGAATAAGTATAAATAGTTAATTGTAGAATCATACTTCTTTTGTTTTTGAGTAAAGAAAAAATATATTTATAGCAGTTGGGTGAAGTAACTATGTACATAACTTAAACTAAGAATGTTTCCCCTATAACTTGCTTCTAGGTGTCACAGTGAATATATGCAGAGATATTTGTCTGATTTAGTAGGGAAATTGAGGTTTAATTGCTTGCATTATCATAATTGCTTGGTTTTCTTGCAGACTGACAGCAGAGTTGCTCCGACTGCTCTGTGTAGAATCCCAAATTAAAGAGCAAGTAAAAATCTATGAAGGTGTCCCCATCCTCCTCAGTTTGCTCCATTCAGATCACATAAAGCTATTGTGGAGTATAGTTTGGATACTAGTCCAAATTTGTGAAGATCCTGATACCAGTGTTGAAATCCGTATCTGGGGTGGTATTAAACAACTCCTACATATTTTACAAGGGTAAGTTTTTTGCAGTTGTAAGTAACAAAGCCACCCACGAGTGCTTACAGATTTTTAAAAGAATGAGCTCCATACATCTACTTCAGTCACAGATAAAGTTCTAAAAATAACAGAACAAACCATCTACCTAACTTTTTGTGAAAATTGCTACCCATCCCAGTGATAAGGTTTTATTGTAGCATTTGTCATCGCTTTCCATCATAAGAATACGGGGTATCACTTGCAAAGTCTATAGTCCTACCTACACCTAAATGGAAAATAACTGTGGTGGCAGCACAGCTTAAAACAGTAGACCAAGTGTGATTCAAATGAATTATGTTGTGATTCAGTGTACCACTACTGGGAAGAAGTATCACTGAATCAGTATGAGTTACTGTGAGTTTTCCAGGCCGTGTGGCCATGTTCCAGAAACATTATCTCCTGACGTTTCATCCACGTCTATGAAAGACATCCTCCTGCCTAGGGGAATCCTTTGCTGGGATTTTTAAAAAAACTCTAAAATCAGGACAGTAAATAAAGAGGAACACTTAAAAAACAGGGGAATTCCTGAAACAATAAGGGCCAGCTAACACCTCCCAACAAAGGATTCCCCCAGGCAGGAAGCAGCCAAGCTTTGAAGTTCCAGGGCCATTCAATGCTAATCAAGGTGGCCAATTCAATTCAACAAGAGTTCTTTCTCTCACCCTGGACATTCCACAGATATATAAATCTCACTTGCCTAGTTTCCAACAAACCTCACTCCTCTGAGAATGCCTGCCATAGATGTGGTCGAAACATGAGGAGAGAATGTGTCTGTAACATGGCCAAACAGCCTGGAAAACTCACAGCAACCCAGTGAATCCGGGTTATGAAAGCCTTCGGCAACACATTGAATCAGTATGTCTTATTTGTGAACTCAATGTCTCTTACTCCTTAATAAATACATATAGGATTGTACTGTTGGCTGCTCATAGTGTCAGTTTAAATTTGTGTGACAGATTAAATCATGACTTCTGTAGGATTCAACAGGAACTGTGTGCATCTACCAGCCAGGGTATAAACATGCAGTTGAATGACCTATAACCTGTAATCATAATCCCCTTAACTAGAGCTGCATGCAGCCTTCACGTTCATTTGGAAATTCAATTCCTCAGAATTCCTCAGAATCTCAAATTACATATTTGTTGTATATTTTATTTTGTACAGTATTTCCAATTACTCTAATTTCAACTAAATGTCTGAAAAGGTACAAAGCAAAGGCCAGAATCTAATGATGTTCTACCACCGCAGTGCTGCTTCGAGTGGAATTGACAACAATCCTACCCCCGCCACATTTCTCAGAGCCCCCAGTTCACCTTAAAAATTTCATTCCAGAGGACTGAAATCCCCACTGCAGCAGATTTTAGGATGTATGTTGGGCTGCAGGATGAGTGCAAGAAATCCTCAATTATTCTGGCATTGAGCTCTTGATATATATCAGTCAGGAATGTTTGTTTTAAAGGGCGAATATAATAGAATTCACAATTGAATGCACTTCCTAATACTGTGCTTCATGCTAAAAGGGTGGTTTTCTAAAATAGTTGTTAATGTTAAATATATTAGATAGTTATAGATAGTTTATTTAATGCTTAGACCATAGGCCTTTCACATGCAGGGCAGACAAATGCATACATAAAAACCAGATTATAAAATACAATACAAAATATACCATCAATAAAATATCTAGATTGTTTAAGGTCATTAATTAGTGTTGGAAGACAGATCTTGCAAGTTATTTTTATGACATGTTTATATGTAAATCCAACCATACCACATTTCCTGCCTTTAAACCAAATAGGTTGATTATAAATATAGTCCTCTCCTTCCAAGATTTTGCAATCAGTTCTTGTTCTGTGTCCTGGATTTTGCTACTCTTTACATTAAAACAGTGACTGTTAGTAACTACAAATTATTCGTAAGTCTTCCAACACTAATTAATGACCTTAAAAGATCTAGATATTTTGTTGATGCCATGTTTTATAGTGTTCTTTGACAGTTTCTTTAAACTGTCAAGCTTATTTTTATCATAATGTTTGAGGGTACATAGAACATTTGTGCCCTTAATTTAGATGTAAACAGGTTTCAGTTGCCAAATGGCTAACAGATGTATCCAAAGTTTTGACTGAATTATGTTTTTTTTTCAGAGAGAGAAATCTATTTTCAGATCGATCTTCCATTGGAAGTTTATCTAGCGCAAATGCAGCAGGGAGAATCCAAGAGTTTCACTTCTCAGAAGATTTAAGCCCTCATGAGATACAAGAAAATATGTTTTCGCTTCAAGCGGGTATATCATTTAAAAACTACTGTATTAAGATTTGCACATGGCAATATTATATGTCCAGATAATGTTTAAAGATACTATATTTTCTGTAGGTCATAATGTAGATTTATAGATTTTCTCTCTCTGGATCTGTCTGTGTTGTAAGAGGAGCTAAAGCAGGGAAAAGAGTAAGATGATTGAAAAAGATAGCCAGCCTTCAGTGAAATACATGTTATGTTGGAGCAGGAAACCGAGTTCTAATGATTGGTTTTCAGTTTGGGTTCTCAATATCTTTTCCTTAAGTCTGATTGTTATGAAAGTTAATCTGTGAAATGGATGTTTTACGACCGACCGTGCCAACCATGGTAGTTACGTATTTTGTTACTTCCACATCAGCTATGTGCAATGGCATCCATGACACTTGCTTGAAATTCCTTATGGGCATAAAAAAGTTAAATCATGGATTCCTAGGTGAGAGGAGAACATCATTGACACTATTTGTTTATTCACGGAGAATTTACTTATAGTAAATTGTCTAATCTGTTTTGTCAAGTGTCCTGAATGCTTCAGAAGCAGCAGGTCACCATTGTAGATAGCTTGCAAGGCCTCCTACACTGCTTAATATTTGAAAGAGCCTGTTTTCAAACCTGGAAGTGGATTTCTAGCCACTTCTGGTGTGTGTGTGTGTGTGTGTATGTGTATGTGTTTGTGTGGAAATCGAGGCAGTCCATGTAGCTTCCAAAGTGCGAAAAATTGACCCCAAACCCACTGCAATTATCCTTCCCTGATTTAGGGAAATTTTATACATTACATTGAGGAACTGAATGTGCACTTGGAGAGCTACGTGGAATCACACTCCTCAATAAGCTGGCCTGCTCTGCCAACATATTGGACTACCTTCACCTTTTTATTTTCTAAATAGAGAATAGAAATGTCATGTGTGAATATTTTAGTAGTATAGTGAACAATTATTACAGCTGTACCCCATTTTAATGAAGTAGGTTTATTCCTGGGCATTACTTCTTTAACAGAAAATTTCATACCAGAGCTAGGAATAATATGGGGAAGATAGCTAAAGATTGCAAGAAAGGAGGGTAATTTAATGTGTTTCAGGAATTTCTTTATCCAAACCTAACAATGTGAACACATGAAATGGAATAGTCAGGTAGGCTTTATGTAAGCATGTACTTTTTCTGTTTTACATTCTGTAGTTGCTGGTAAGGCTTGTCTGCTCTTCCATTTTCTGTTTTACTGTCACGTATGCTTGCTCAGTAAAGGAATTTCGAGACAGCTGTTGCTTGCCTTGTCTATTTCAGACAGGAAATCACAGGTACAGCAGGACTGACTGGAGAAGTTTTATTTTTTCTGGTTTAACTTTTTGTTGTATTCTTTACTGCAGACATTCTGCTGGAACCTGATAGCGAGTGTATGTGTTTCTCCAGCCCTCCTCCCAGTGTTGCTAAAAACTCACAGCTAGTCAGAGGTTAAGGAAGCAAAGGGGGCTGAGTGGTCATGAAAAGACTTTGTAAAAATGAGCTCTTTTTTGTCAGAGTCTTTGTTAATTGAGGCATGCCTATGTTTTGCAAATTTTGGCCTAAATGCAATCCTAGTTCCAAATAGAATATATTCATTGAATCAGTGGAATTTAGTAAGTTAGTACTTTAGTAAGTCCAATTGATTCAACAAATGTATTTGATTTGGGACTAGTAATTGAATTTGAATTAATGAATATATGTAGCAGACATTCCATTATTTGTAATTTTCTATAAGAAGAATTTGAGATGCATTTTTGCAATGATTTATTCTAGCTTGTTGTGCTGCGATTACTGAACTGGTTCTTAATGACACCAATGCCCACCAAGTAATTCAGGTAAGAAATCTTTTAACACCTTTAATAGTATGTTTGTTAATTTCCATTTCTTATCATGCATACTTGTTAAGTTATGGCTGCAAAATATTCCTTTACACACAATTTTTGCTCATGTTCAAAGGGATGGTTATTGTGAAGCTAAAGGCAACATTTATATTGGAAAAGACTGAATAACAAGCTTTTGATTGAACTTTCAGAAAAAGAATACCACGTTAAGACATTTCAGAATAGAAATGCTAAAACAGGAATGATTGGCTGTCAAAGATGGGGAAGGCACATTGACTCCCAGGGAGACCTTAGAGAGTCGCATCTCCCACTATACACATGAGATTTAATAGATTCATTTCACAAATTTTGTAATTAATTTTTAATAAAACATTGTAAGTAGGTTTTTTTTCATATTTGTTTCTTCATTGTTTTCTCTAATGTGTGTTTTCTCAGGAGAATGGAGTCTATACAATAGCAAAGCTGATTTTACCTAACAAACAAAGGAATGTAGAAAAAGCTAATTTATTGCAGGTAATTATTTTTAGTTAATGTACAGACTCTTTTACTAAAAACAGCATTTAAAAAGAAATATGATTGGTTATGGTATATTCTTGTACTTTAATGGGAGAATGAGAAACCCAAACCCAGTTAGGAAGGAAACCAATAGTCAGACAACCAGATAATGAGAACAACAACCTTTTTGAACCTTTTACACCCACTGAATTGGAAATGGCTCTCAATAAGTGTAAAAATGGCAGCTGGCCTGGATGATCTATGCACGGAACAAATCAAGAGCATTGGCCCAAAAACAAGGTGCTGGCTGCCCACGCCACTGAACCACTGCATTGTGTCCTCTCAGATCCCTAAAATCTGGAGGAAAGCAAGAGTCATAGCCATTTTGAAACCAGACAAAGATTGTAGTGATCCAAAAAGCTATAGACTAATCTCCTTGCTGTGCCATCTTTAAAAAAGTTCTTGAAAGACTTATTCTGCCTAGAATTATGGAAAAAATAGATCAAATTATGATCCCAAAGCAAGCTGGTGTCAGAAAAGGAAAAAGCTGCACATCACAAGTACTGAACCTGACTTAGCAAATAGAAGATAGTTTTGAAAGGCAGCAGATTACAGGAGCAGTCTTCATTGACCTGTCAGGAACCTACAATACTGTAAATCATCGCCTCCTGCTGAGAAAAATTATAACATCAATTTACCCGCTCCATAGAAAATTTGCTATGATCAGCCACTGCCAGAAGGGACAGAGAGTTTCATCTATGTTGATGATCATGCCATCACCACTCAAAAACAAGGAACTTTGAAATTGTTGAACAGAAGCTCTCTGAAGCTTTAGGTTCTCTTACTGCCTATTACAGGGAAAACCAGCTGATTCCTAATCCATCTAAAATGCAGATGTTTGCTTTTCATCATAAGAACAGACAAGCATCTCGAGCTCTGAGGATTATCTGGGAAGGAATCCCACAGGGGCATTGCAGCACACCAAAACATCTGGGAGTTAACCTGGATCGTGCTCTGACTTACAAGAAGCAGTGCTTGACTATCAGGCAAAAAGTGGGAGTTAGAAATAATATCATATGAAAGCTGACTGGTACAATATTTTCCTTACAATCCTAGGCCAACTAAACCTGTCACAATTCCTGTACAAATCAATAAAAGAAGTTTTTTGTACTGAACCCGCATTCTAATTGAATGGAATGGAATACAAATTAGTTTCAACATTTTTCGTTTCATTGGTTTAAGAAGGAATTTGTGATCATCATTACTGAGATGTAAATTTTAAATAATGTGAAAAACTTAAAATAATTTTGTGGATAGTGCATACAACTGCACTGTCCACATACAACACACAAAATACAGGTTTGTGCTTTGCTGAAGTACAATAAAGTAAATCAAATAATTTATCTTTGTCATATTCTGAAGTTTATTTTAAACCCATCTGACCATTAAGCTGCTTTCATTTTGCCAACATTATAAAGGGAATTGTTTCAGCCATTTTTGTAATGTTTGCTTAAAAAAGGATTTTAAACATGAGGAGGGGAGGATAGACTTGGAAGTTCCAGCAAACTCATCTGGTATTAACAATTTTTACCATCATGCAGTCAGTTAAAACGAAGGATGATATATTTCAGACTTGTTGCTAAAACACGTTTATTCCTTTACTTTTTAAAAGACACCAGGCTTTCAATCTGTTTTGCCTCCCATCTTCTCTTAATTAAAAAGGAAACGATTTTTTTATACTTTTATAAAAAGAATGTATGCTTATACATTTTGTTAAAGTATAAAAAAAAGGAAACGAAATGAAGTTTGCATGGAATTATCTGAAATATGTATATTTCCATTATTCCAGTGTTATGCCTTCAGAGCCTTGAGATTTCTTTTCAGTATGGAAAGGAATAGGCATCTCTTCAAAAGGTATGCAGGTGAATCAATGGGAGAGTTTCTTTCCTTCTTTCCTTCTTTCTTTCTTTATATATATATATATATATATCCTGCTTTATCTCTCAATACAGAGACCCAAAGCAGCTCACAATCAAAAACATTACAACTTAAATATGCAAACATACAATAATAAAACAGTATATCATTATATATTATTATATATTATCAGTAGTAATTATTTAATATATTGTTATTACTAATATTATTATTATACAAGGGTGGGTCAATTTTTTCCTCCTGTGTCATAAAAATGTTATGAATTAACATATAACAGCAGAAGTTGCTACAGATCATAGCCCGCACAATCCTCTATACAAAATGAACGTTCAGCATAGTTACCATCAATTTGTACACATTTGTGGCATTGTTTAACCCAGGTATCAAAACCATTTTGGAAAAATTTAGGGCCTTGTTTTGTGACCTATGATTTTAAAGCTGTTTTAACATCATTCAAGTCATTAAATCTGAAACCATGTAGGTTGTCTTTCAGAGGTCCAAACAGGTAAAAGTCAAAAGGGGCCAGCTTTACAATCCTTACAGCTTTATAATCATGGGTCACAAAGCAAAACCCTGTTTTTTTCCAAAACGGTTTTGATGCCTGGGATAACCAGTGCTGCAAGTGTGTATAAATTGATAGTGACTATATTGAATGATAGTTTTGCATAGAGGATAGTTGAGGCTATGATCTGTATCAGCTTCTGCTGTTATATGTTCATAATGTTTTTATGAAACAGGAGGCGAAACTTTTTGACCCAAACTTGTATATTATTATATTGTAGTATTATTAGTATTATATTAAATTATATGATAATATTATCAATATTATATGTATATACAATATATTATTAGCATAGCACAATATTAGTATTATATATTACTATATTGCACTATACCACTATACTGCAATATTATTAGTAATATTACATATAATGTAATATACGATTATTATATTATTATATATTATATTGTACTATATCATTATGTCACAATGTATATAATACACTATCAGTATATTATACTATTAATATTATATAATATATTGTACAATATCATAAGTTGTAGTATATTTAATATTTTATATTACAACATTATTAATATTATATATAATGTATTAGTATTATTACATTATAATGTTATTATTTCTATGTATTATTATATTGTATATCTTGAGGGGCTCCCAAATGATGTTGCAGGAGACACGATGGAGATGTGTCTTCCTGGCTGCCCCCTCTTCACTCTATTATGCTCTAAAAATATTCACTTGAGTTACAACAAAAAACTACAGGTTAATATGTTGGATTACCCTTAGTTATAGTCAATGATTTTTAACTGTAGGAATGGAAAAATGTGTGAAAAATTATTGCTATTGTCACTAGATGTCTCTGGAAAGAAAATGCAACTGTATTTAGGGACCTCATCAGATGGTTAATTCCATACATGTTCATTGCAAAATTTAGTGGAGAAGCACAAATGAAATCAGAACTCTGACTAAAATATGTAGGTGTGTGTAGGTACATTATTTCCAGTGTTTTTGCAATTGGATCTAAAGCTATCATTGTGGTCAGGTGAATTTAATGAAAACAACAACCAAGACAGTGGGGTTGTTGTAGGTTTTTTGGGCTATATGGCCATGTTCTAGAGCATGGCCATATAACCCCAAAAGCCTACAACAATCCAGTAATTCCAGCCATGAAAGCCTTCAACAATACATTAAAACCAAGACAATTTAATATTTAGGTGCTCTGCCCAAAGGATGCATCTAATCAACATTGTTTGGACACATTCTCCACTGTTTTATACATCCTCATACTTTCTAAGCCTGGAATGAAATACAGTGAGAATGTTCAAAAGTTACAGACTTTGAAATCATGATCTAAAGGCTAGGCAACTGTCAAAGTTAGGAAGTTGCATTGGCTTCCCAGGAAACTTTATGTTCCACTTTATTAGAGGAGTCTGATTTAATCAGCTTTTCTTCCTCTAAAGACAGTGTAATATATTGCTAAAATGTTTATAATCTTTTTTTAAAAAGTTATTTTGTCCTAAGAACATTTGTCTAACATGAAGAATTTATTAAATTACGTAAAAGTATGTATTCTTTCCAATATGGAAATCATAATTGGATGTGCAAATTTACATTTCTGTAGACTCTTCCCTACAGACCTGTTTGAGAGTTTCATTGATGTTGGACATTATGTTCGTGAAATCAGTGCTTATGAAGATCTGGTCTTTAAGCTAAATGCATTACTGGTAAGTAGGAAATACTTGGTGGTTGTTTTTGTTCTAAGAAGTCCTTAGAGATATCTGTCATTTTCCTGCTATCAAGGGACACAATCCTTCATGCTAGATCTAACTGCTTCTTCCTGCTTCACAGTCCGGGCTTTCAATTTGCTCGTCAGCCTTACCACCATAAGATGGAGGGCCAGTCGGCCCAGTTCCATCCTGCCTCCATTTGGATAAGGACAGGGATTTTAGTGCTCTAGCGATAACTTCATTTAGACATTGTTTGTGGAGGAATTTTCTTTGCGACCAAGGGCTTGTATATACCTTGGCAATTACCATCTTTGTGGAATTGGTGTGCCTAAGAGCAAGTGAGACTTCAGCACCCTAATGGGGATAGTTCTTTCTCTTTTCCCTTCAGTCTTTACCATCTTAATAGAGATGGCTGTTGTTGGTGATGACAAGTACACACAGCCCTGATTTCTACTCGTGAGTCAGTTATGGAAGGCATGATGGAAGTGATGTGCGTAGGACATGCTGAAGAATCAGAATAGTAGACCCTTGTGCCGGTTCACCATGAACACAGTGTCCTGTTTTAATTTGATTTTAAAATTCCAGTTTCAACAAAAAAAATTATGCAGTCGTGCCCCCCCCCCCCCCCCCCGTCCCCGTCCCCGTCATTCTTCTTGAAAAAGAAGGGGAATCACAACTTCAAATAATAATAAGAAGAACTTTTGGGACAGTTAATAACAAATTGTTTTATTGTACAAGCCCAAGGCAATAAGAAAAAGACACAAAATGCACAGAATAATACCCTCAGGGCAAACAAGAAACAGAAGACACCAAAGGCCATCATCATGTTCACAAACAATAATAAAATAGTTCCTTTGTTGTACTCTTGTTGTAAAAGATTTATTGGTTGATTTGAAAACTGAGAAGGGAAATAAAGGAGAAGGTAGTATGTAATTGGCCCACACTATTTTGACTTCTGTAAATTAGAATGTATAAGCAAGTTAAATCAGTCTTTTAACCAATTTTGTAACTAGGAGGATGATGTCAAGCAAATTGCTGAAAATATTGAAAACATTAATCAGAACAAAGCACCTACAAAATACATAGGCATCTATGCAATTTTGGACCATCTTGGCAGTGGCGGTTTTGGAAGTGTTTACAAGGTAAAATTGTCTTTGATATATTTAAACATTTCAGGTTATTGATATTCTTGTTTTGATCTCCATATATGTTGATACTGCAAATTGATTGTACTATTTTTTTTCTATCAATAAACTTGGGTCTTATGTCTGAATAAGTTTGGCCCTATTAATATTTTTTCCATTAAAAAGTAGCATTTCTTGAGAACACTGGGATAATAGAATGATAATAGGATGTGGTGAGATGCTGCCATTTCAAAACTCAACCTAGGCATGAGCTCACTGTGTTCCTTTTGGAAGCCATAGTTCCCTTATCCAGGTTTGCTGTAAGTGCCATCTTATAGTTCTACTCAAATAATTCTTAAGCTAACAAATGCCATGCATGTCAAATGAGTTGCAATACAACACAATACATACTATAGAGTTTTATTTCAGCCTTTGCTTAAATCTGGATCAGTCGTAGATATTCCTCATTTCTACTTTCTGTTGTGATATTATTTCAAATATCCTTTGATGTCAAAATACTTTAATTGCACCATTGGGGCTTAAAAACTTTAAGGTGATTATTAGATATTGAGAGAAACATGATTTTAGGTATAGCTATAGAGTAATTTCTGGTCCCAATTCAAGGTGCAGGTGATCACCTACATAGCCCTAAACGTTCAGGACCTGCCTACCTTCATGATCACTTCTTCCCTTACGAGCCAGCACGTATCCTGAGATCATCGGGGAGGCTCTGTCTCAAGCGCGGTTGGTGGGGATGAGAGAGAGGGCCTTCTCAGTGGTGGTCCCCCAGCTTTGGAACTCCCTCCCTAGGAAGATAAGACAGGCCCCAACCTTGTCCTCCTTCCAGAGAGAATTAAAAACCTGGATGTTCGGTTGTGCCTTTGATTAGGCAGTTTCGCTAGAGCATTATCTTGACCCACTCTAAATCCTGTACTTTATTCCGGCCTTCCTATTGGTTCCTCGTCATTTTGCTTAGGTTATGCCCTAGTCCCTGTACATTTGATCTCTAGTCCCTGTACATTTGATCTCCGCACTTTCCATTGGCCCCTTTAAGAAATTATTGCACTCATTGTGTTTTGTTTTATTATTTTATTTGATTGGTTTTAATGTGTTTTATTTTATCTGCAATTTTCGGGCTCATTCCCTTTGTAAGCCACCCCGAGTCCATGTGGGGAGATGGTGGCGGGGTATAAAGTTACTTATTTACTTACTTAATTTTAACAAAATAATAGTATGTATTTCCCATCATGTTCTGTTCACTGTTGTTCATACCCATGCTTGTTTTTCCTTGTCAAAAGGTTAGAAAACATGGTAGCCAAAACCTTCTAGCAATGAAAGAAATCAGTTTACACAATCCAGCATTTGGTAAGGATAAAAAAGACAGAGACAGCAGTGTAAAGAACATTGTCTCCGAATTAACCATAATTAAAGAACAGGTGAGTCCTGAAGAAGAGGTGGAAATATATTTCAGAGAAATCAGTGATGTTTTGCCCTAAGTAAATGGGTTTGGGATTTTTGATGTCAAACAGAAGGAAATTGTGCTTTGATGAGCCTGTCTTATGTTGAGTCACTTTACCTATCTACTGTAGCTATCTTAGAACTATCAGTTCAAACTGGCAATACTGCCTCTCTAGTGTTTCACAAAATAGTCATTCCTTGCTCTGCTTGCAGAGTCCTCATATTCTCTCATGGGCTTGCATCCAGTTCTTCTCCAGCCCATCTCTGCTTAGCTTCTAAAATCAGGTGAGATCAGGTTGATGGATACTGTTCCTGGATTTTGCCCATAATATCCATGCCACAGACAGATAATGACAGTGGCTATAGCTGCAACTCTGTGTGATTCTCTTTCATATCACTGAGTTGAATGGTAGTTAGCACCCTTCCCCACCCACTGCCTATCCATAACCATCTCCTTGGAAAGTTCAGAGAGCAAGCTAGAAATAGTGCACATTGCCCAGGGCCCTTATAAACTGGATATTATCCTTTGTTGAATTGAATAAATATTAGTAATTTATTAAATGTGGTATCAATATTATTTTTATGCGCACTCCAATATCCCATAGATACACTATAAGTCTAGAAATTTTAGTCAAAAATTGACCCAAAATATGTTGGTCAGCTTCTCCACATGTCAATGTAAGTACTGTATCTTGAATCTTACCCTTTTCTCCGAGTAGAATGGCAAAAGGTGAGAGCTTAGTCCATCCCAGGACAATCTGAAAGAAGCACTGATCCAATACTCAATCCTCAATGGCTTTTTCTGAGCTTTTTAAAGATCCATGGGAAAATGTCAGCCATGACTGGTTCTTTAGCATTGTTTTCCTAAGGTCCACCCTTTACATTTTTGTTGCCCACATCTAAACTTTACCCCCAGCTTTGCCATGGGTGATAACAAAATTCATAATTTTGGCCCCCAATCACATCCTTGATTTATATATCAGGTCAACTTATACACAAGTATATATGGTAGTTGATTTTAAATATACCTCCAGCAATAGTGATCACTTACAATTGTATATGTTCATGTTTGTAATGTCCCCAAGGAATTCACTGTCCATTTCTATGGAGGTAGAGGGTCCCGGACTTGGAAAAAAGGTCCACATAGTGATGACTCATCTTCTGGAAAGAATGATGAAAGCCAGTTCCATATATGTTACAGTTGTGGATTGGGGTTTTCATTATAGTCTAAATGAATATTAATAAATGTAAAGATTGAATAGGAAGATCTTAAAATTATGTGCAATTTTGACAATTCTCATTGGCCAATGCAATGATCACAAGAGAACAATGCACTAAAAGCAAATCTGTTTTGCTGTAACAGTTCCTCAGGTTTGAAATTAAATTAGAACAAGGGTTTTTTTTTAAGCTGATGGTAACTTGGCTCTTTATTTTAATACATCTATACGTCTTCTATGTGTTTTCAATTGAGCTAGTTGATTTATTTGGAATTGTTAATGCCATTGTGGAAAGAGTTGTAGCCTAATGGAACAACAACAACAACAACAGGACTAGTAGTAATGTAAAATTACTTACAATTACTTCAGGCTCCTACTTACCTTGGTTTAGAAAAGATAAATATTTTGCAATATCTTCCCACAATATTACATTTCAAAGAGCATTTTCTGGGAGGGTTTTTCAGGAGGAGCATAAATGACCTAAGCACAACTGATTGTTGACTCATATCTAGTTTAACATATAAAGATGGAAGAAGAGGTATGAGCTAAGAAACATGTCTCATTTTAATATGAGTTGCCTATAGGATTCAATTATTGGCAGTTATTTTTATTTCTAGCATAGATATTCATATTAGTTTATGAAACTCATATATATAATGTGTTTTAAGTATGTATATTTATATAGTTCCTATGGTCACAGTATATTTACAGCTGACGAGATTTCTGTTATTTTCGTAGAAAACCTGAATTTCCTAGTTGTGCTTTTTAACCAAGTGCACAATAGAAAATAATTAAATGAAAATTGCAGCTTTGTATTCCCCTCACCTAATCTTTAAGTAGAACCATAGATGTTCCATCCTTCTAGTGGAACACTTGATCCTGAAATACATTGTCCCAGGGGCAACTTTTACGAGGATCCTGACACCATGTTTGAGTAACATTTTGTATGGTACAGGGACTATTTAAGAGACATAGCAACATCAACTCATTATTTAGTGTGGGTGGATATTATTTTCTGAAAGATCAAGCCAGAATAGTTTGGGAAAAATCGGCACCATTTACACCTTGAGTCCAAGCAGTTATGGTTGCTTTGTTTATTTTCTGGCTCTAGACACAATATAGTTTATTTGTTTTCTCTTACATAGCCCTGCATAACCAGAAGGAGAGTATTTCTAAAAATAGAAAGAACTTTTAGATACAAACAAAAACGTGTATCTGGACCTATACCTGTCAAAGCAAAAATATTCATTCTACAGATCATTCCCCCTCCTCCATGCTAACTTAAAACACTAGCATATTGATGTAAACCCAGTCTCAACCTGTACACTTGGTTTGCTCTTGCCTTGGAGGAAATTGGATTATTTACTTTGAAGACTGAGATGTTTAGAAGTGTGGCAACATGATATTTAGCACAGATTTGTTAGACACTATTGCCAGCAAGTTTCACCAAAATTACAAGTAGAATTTTACTTATTTTGAACTAAGTTCTTTAAACATAATATAACTTTCTTTCCCCCAAATCAGATTAGTTGAACTCAAAATGCTGTAATTGTGAACAGGATTCTGCTACGTAGCTGCACTTTGCAGATGTTATAAATGTCAATGTATGTGTTTCATTTCAAGTCTTTTACACCAGTAGTAATCTGCTATGTAGGGTGGCTAATTACAATCTACTGCAGTGTTTTCCTGGGGTAGCAGTTAAATTACAAAGAAAAACTTATAAAAAGAGAGAAATTAATGTAAAGATTTAAATTAAGAAGGTAATATCTCTGCTGGGTGTGAACAGCTGACTTTCTAATCCACTATTCTTCCCAGAGAATGCAGTTGACTTATTCCTGGATTGAATTGTGGACTAGATAGCTCTTTTGTTTTAATTTTTATATATATATATATATATATATATATATATAAAATTGTTATCAATTAATGAGAGGTAGTTGTATATTTATAGGCAATACAGAAAAGATGAGATTCAGTGTTGTATTCCTCATGGTTCTTGTTACAATGCCTTTGATGTTAGCACAATGTGAAAGGTTATAATGATGATCACAATCCTAGCAATAGCTTCCGCTTAGAGGAACTTGCAATAGCTTCCGCTTAGAGGAACATTCTAAAACAACATAGAAATGAATGTTCCATTTAACCTTAACTGTATACATTATTTTTATTGTAGCTTTATCATCCTAATGTGGTACGATATTACAGAACATTCTTAGAAAGTAAGTATAAACTCACAGGGCTACATTCTGCAGCTAATGTGTTAAATAAGGGAGCTATATGAAGATAATGATCCTGTGAATTTTCTCTCTTAAGAAGCTTGTGATATTTAATGTAGAGTCCCTACATTAGGAGACTTTGGATAATTTGACTAAGTTTTAGATTTTTAAAATTTGGTACTCATTTTCAAGGAAGTAAACACTCAGTAGATGTTACTTCTCATTGAGTGTCTTTGAGATTGCTTTAGTTAAGTTTGAAAAGAGAAAATGATACGCTAGAGATTCCAGAAGATCTAATGTGTTTGTAGGTCAGATTATTTCAGTTTGGAAAATGCAGAGTTTTTCTTTCCCAGATGATCACATCATAGTTCACATTCCTGGCACTTTTAGCATTTGTCAACAACTTTGTCCCTCATGAATAGACTGCAGATAAATAGTAACAGAGATTGAGACATCCAATGTAGGCTGAATCTTCATTGTGTTGGGGACTTCAGTAAATTACAGATTCTGTTAATGTATCAACCATCTGACAGATCTGAGCTGATGTAGTTCTGTGTTGGAGCCCAAATTTGTTTTCTTGGATAGCTTCAATGTAAAAGCTGAAGCCAGGTCAGGACCCTTTTGGTTTGTTAATTGCAATGGGTCTGTTCCAGCCTAACCCATCATTCAATGCATCTGGTAGATACACTGTTGTGCCCAGGAGGTTCTGTTCTGAAAGACATGATTGTAATCATTTAATAGTTTCATTTGAACACATAGATCACAATGTTGTATTTTTTTGGTCAAAACCCCTAAGACTAATTAGTCTTTCCTCACAATCATTTATCAAAGTAGATTCCAAAGTTTTTAGAAGGCATACCAAAATAATGTTACCTAGCCATCCACTGGTCAAGGAAATTGAGTATTTTGTTGCCATTGCAGTTTCATTTTCTTATGCATAGATGACAAGCTGTACATAGTCATGGAGCTCATTGAAGGGGCACCACTGGGAGAACATTTTCACTCTTTGAAAGAGAAGCAACAACACTTTACAGAAGAAAGGATATGGAATATATTCATTCAGGTAAGAATTCGTTTATCTTTATTTACTTTCCTATGTATATTTTCAGAGATACTGAGGGCTCTTCCAGACTGGGCTTAAACCCACTACAAAGCAGGTTTAAGAAACCAGCTTCATCGTGGATTTAAGTCCCCATGCCCCTTGCTAAAAACCTGGGCTTTCTGGTGGTGGTGGTGGTGATGGGGGGGGGGGGTTCTATATCAGCGCAGTAACTACCACACTGACATGGGGCCACTGCAATGAGGTGTCCTCTTTATAAGACCACATCTATTATTTATTTATTTTATTTATATCCTGCCCTTCTCATTGAAGAGAACTCAGGGCGACTCACAACAAAGGCACAATTCAATGCCTTGAACACATATCAATATAAAAACAACATATATAATAAAATCACATAATTAAAACACATCAATTAAAATAAATAGTTAAAATCTAGCCTTCTTTCCAGCCACTGTGATTAAGATTCTTTAGCATCTTTTGCTAATTAATTTGATGGAAGAGAGACATTATTTGTTTGATTGATGGTTGTTGTTTTAATTTCATCCAGCATTTGCAACCATTCTTTCCATGGTCTGTGGTTTTCATGCTTCATTATAAGGTGGATTCTTCTCCCATATTAGGATGTAAGCTACCATGTAGCTAGCAGATGTAGGTGATACTGTGATCTCTTTAACATTTTTTTAAATTGTAAAGCTCTGCTTAGCTCTCCGATATTTGCACAAAGAGAAGAGGATTGTCCATCGAGACCTAACTCCAAACAACATCATGCTGGGAGATAAGGATAAAGTAACAATCAGTAAGTTGAAATTTCACAGCACTAGTAGATTTGCCACAGTGAAGTCAGAATAAATTGAAACATTGTTTCCAGTGATTATTTGCAAATAAAATAGTTCATTTTTAATAATACTCTACTGTACAGTAAAGTGTGCTGTGTATATATTTGCATACCGTCATCCCTCTTTTGATTCAACTCTTACAAATTATTTTCTGCCATCTCTGCTGCTGCCTTATGCCATTTTAAATAGAGAATTTGATAACAGTGGTGTCTATCTTGAGGAGGAAGTATGAGGAGAGGGAGGACATGTACATGGGTGTTTTTGTGCATTTGCTCACTCGGGTGGGGGAAGAGGATGGGATGTGAGAGCGTGAGGAGGGAGGCGTGCACATGCATTTCCTTGTGTACACACTGGCTTCCTTCCTGCTCAAGTGAGTCAGTGAGTGAAGAAGCAGGTAAAAGTATACATGACTGGGCCTAGCCTCCTCGCAAGTACAGGAATTTTTGATGCATGTTAAATATAGTTTTGCCACCTTAGAGGTATTCACTGTTTTTCCACTTTTTGGGGGGATCCTGTGCTCATAACCCCCACAAATGTGGAGGGGTGACTATATATAGACATTGGGTACCCTTTTCAGACTTTTTAGTATGCTATTTAAAGTATTTTTAAAACAATATTCATGACTGACTTCTGTTCTATATTTAAATACACTTCTAAACCAGGTGTTTCCAATTTTTTCACCTTTTTGCATGACGACAGCAATTTGCCATTTATTATTTTTGGAAAAGAGGAAATGCAAAGGGGCTTTGAGCGCATATAGCATTTATTCACCTATTCAGCAGTCCATTGAGCCATGTCTGACTTAACAGGCCCAGTTAATCAATTAGATCAGTGGTTCTCAACTTGTGGGTCCCCAGATGTTTTGGCCTTCAACTCTCAGAAATCCCATCAGCTGGTAAACTGGCCAGGATTTCTGGGAGATGAAGGCCAAACCACCTGTAAACCCACAGGTTGAGAATCACTGAGTTAGATAATTTGGAGGACTCCTTGTAACCAATCCTACTTAACATCATGATCCATGAATTGCTGGCAGTCCATGATGAGATTACAGAAAAGAAAGAAATAGCTGTAATAAATGGGCATAAATGGGAGTACTGGTCCCTGCACATCTTGGGGTTTCCAACATCAGATAGTTTAAAAAGCATTGCTCTGAACTATCCATTAATGTTTATTGTGCTCAAATGGCAAGGCAGGGATGTCATCTGCACCAGCTTATGATCATTTTTTGCATTTTGCAAACCTTTAATTCATTCATCAATTGATTTACAAAAATATAAATAATAACCTTCTTTGGATGGCATGCCATTACAAAATGTCTTTACATTAGCTTTTACTTAAGATGTTTTATTTTGAGTTATTATGAACCAGGGTTGGCTGAACACCCCATCTGAACCCCGAGCCCATTTCTACAGCTCATTAATTGCTAGCTTATAGAGAGACCTACTGAATTGCTTTCCCCACCCCTTAAGTTACAAATGTGGCTATGCTGTGTGTAGGGGACCCTCCACAATTTGGTGTGAGACATATGTGGCCCTTAGACTTTGGGAAGATCCCCACTCTTCATTCTAGATGATATGATGGTCCCCATTTTCTCTTTTTATATATATAACTGATTTTTATTAAGGAAAACATAGTTTTTTACATACTTAAAAAGGAAAAGAGTTTTGAGTGTTTAGGGTATCGGGAATGGGAAAGGTTAATGGGATAAGGTAGTGCAGGGAATGGAGATAAAGGCAGGAAGAAAAAGAAAGGGTAGGTTAAGGGTAGGGGTGGGGGTAGAAAATTGTCTTCCAATCCAGCAAGCACGGAGAATGATATCAGTCTTGATTTTTGTTTGTTTATATGATTGATTGTGCCCTTTATTCAGAGCAGTTTAGCTTCAGCTCCTGCAGAAATTCTTTTAATGGGGGATGGTCCCCATTTTCTCAGTTATACATATGGAAAAGATTATTCAGACCAATTAATGCCATCATTACTTTAACATTTATTTTTTAGAAGACATGGCTGCCTAAAACTGAAGCTCGTTTTGGTCTGAGTGTATTTACTATTTGATAGGTCAATTGTCAAATGTGAAATAGATGGGAGACAGTTATAAGGGATCTATGCCAAAACGTAGCCCAGTTGCTGACATGCATTCAGAGATCCAGTTCAGATGTCACAACAGCTAAATACAGTGAGGAAACACCCACTTGCAGTTTGCAAATATGATGCTTTATACAGTTGAGTGCACCTTCTGAAAGTACAAAAGGCAAATCATCCCAGTGGAGGAGCCAAGTGGAGCAGTTGAGCAGTGTTCATTGTGATGCTGACTCTTTCTCAATAAGTCAACATATCTAAGAATGTGCAAGTTTGGATAGTATGTTTTAATACTTGTTAGACATGCCTTACCTAGATAAATGGGAAATAACTGGGCCTACTCATTCAGTTTGCACTGCAAGTGAAAATAAAACCTGTAGTGTTATCTTCATACATATAATTAAGCAGAAGGAAGTTGAATGCTGTAGTCTTCATTGTTATTGCAAATTAGAAACTTAATAATTCTTCATTCAATTAGTTTGCTGTTTGGAGTAGGGCCATGTATCTTTGGAAGACAGGCATATGATTCAGTTTAGTGGGCTGTAATAATGATGTTTTAGATGAAGAACAAATAAGCACTATGTGGGTGGGGGAAGCATTTAGCTTTGTTTCCTTTGGGGCAGAAGATCTTTCTTAATGTTTCCCATTCTCATTTGGGTTTCATGAATAATTAAATAGTGTCATTATGAGTTTCTGAGCATGTGTTTAAGTAACTGCAGCTATGCTACAAAACACTTTGAGAGACAAGGCTGAATCACATTAACGTCTAAATAAACATAAACTGGAATTGAACTGGGGATGCTTTGCCTTGTCTTATATGTCATTAGAAGATGTAGAGGGACATTAAAGGCAGTAGGCTGGATTTGATATAATTAAATATATTTTGAGGTTACCATGCTGTGTTGATGTACTTTTTATTTGAGAAGTCAATAAACATTCAGGCGTCTTTCATGATCACTGAAACTGTGAGCTATTCATCAGCACCTTAACCAATTTGTACTTCATTTGCATTCAAAGTCAGTAGATGTTTGGGCAGAACATAATAATCTTGGATAGTAGACCTTTTTATTTCTTCTTGTTATCATAGTCAGGTGGAGTTATACAAGTACTGGACTAGTATCTGGATGTTATGATGCACTGGATGAAAGTTAGGCAATTAAAGCTGAATTATAGATAGATTCTCTAGATTCATGGTTTTCTGATATAGGAGCTGTGTGAACAGCCTATGTTTGGATGATATTACACACCTCCTGAGGAAGCAAATACAAAGCTTTGAGAGTATTCATGGAGCCATCTTTATCATTGAAGGCCCTGGTGGACTCTGTGACTTGGGTTGCTTGGGGATAGTTTGGAGTGGCTTTCCAATTGTGTCATATCCTGTGCAGGGATAACTTAGCTGAAATCAGTCTTTTGACATACTTGAATCTGAGAGAGACACACACACAGTTCAGACTACCGTTTAATAAACAAGGCTTTTGGCTATTTTCCCTTCTTTGCTCAGCCAGACCAGGAGATCTAGTCTGTTATCCGAATGAGGAAACTTTCATAGCTAGCTTTGTAGCAACTCCAGGATATTAAACCCAGTTTAAAGTATACTTAATATCCTAGTATGTTCTGAAGCAAATAACCCTTGTTTCCCGACTTGGACAACAATTCACAAAACAGTAATATATGTACCCATCCCTCATGTTTGGGCTGCAAGCTAAACATTTTGTTCAGTAACTAAAGCTATCTTTCAGCTATGATGCTGCTACCTTTAATTTTAAGAGTTTTACATTTGAATTATTATTATTTTAAATTTGGATTGGATATAATTCCCAATTTTGGCTTATTTTATATATAACAAGCTACTTAGAGGTTTTGGGGGACAACAGTTGGGAGTAAAGTATTAGATAAACATTAAATAAATGAATAACTGTATGTTCCTGTTAGTTTCTGACCATACAGAGGGCCAAATTTGAATCATGTATCCATGGCCTATTTTGTGTTTTTCATTCCCTGACATATTTTCTAGAAAAAATAAGTATTTTAATGTCATGTATTATACAGAATTATACATTGTCTTACTGCATGGTGTTTAAAATTCTTCTGATTTAAGTATTGCATATATATATAGTCATAAATACATTAAGTAAACTCCTACAAAATTAAAACAAGTACCAGGACTGAAATTGTAAGTCGGGTATATGTCGTAATTATGCATTAGCTAAAAAAAATCTTAAGTATAGTATTTTTATATGCTGTTTAAATTTTCTAAGGGCCTTATTATAGCTTTTACATATTTAATGTTAGTATTGGGAATTATTTTCATGCTGATTTAGTAGGGCTCACTTTTCAGTAATGTGCATATAATTGGCAGGCATCTCTCTGGGGCATACTGGTTCTGAGTGCTAAATTTTAATACCATGTGCTGGTATGGATCGGAATTTCAGTTGTTTTTTTGCCTGACAGTTCAGAGGCATTGGATGCTTATATGTAAAGTACAGTTCACATAGTGTTATGGATTTAAATTTCTCTTCTGAACAACTCCCATGAATGCATTAACCATATGAGACAGACAAGAACTAAGCTGTGTATTGTTTAGAGTGTCTTTGCAAACTATATACCTACTGTTTTTGTGCTGCAGATATGATTGAATTATTGTCACAGATAAGAATTGCTATCTGTAAAAGCTTTTTCAGGTGTTCAGGGGAGCGATACATGTGCAGGTTGTATGGAAAGCTATCAAACAAACAAGAAGTCATGCCAACTTTGGACAAGAAGGCACATTATGTTCTATTTGTACATTTAAAATGCTTTCTGGAAGGATCGGTTAAAATGGACACAGGGTGTACTAAAGCAAGTAGCCACTACATGGAGCTCTTGCATTATATTTAGAATTCTC